TCACTTTCATGGACTTTGCATGAATGTCCATCACTGTGTGCTATTCGAATTGTAGATGCAGATACCATGTGATTTACATTGCCCCAAATAAAAGATTGTATCTTTAAATACACAGTTGGTTGGTGAATAACTCATTGGTATATTAGAGGAAAATTTACAGATGGTGATTATCAACCTATTGAAAGCTAATTACAGATTATATTTGGTGTAAAATTCACAAGACACTTATGAATATATAGGAATCACTTATAAGTTGTATCTATAGTGTTTCCTTACGATTTTCATAGTTTTTATGAGCCCCTTTCCTGGACACAGCTCTCTTGCTTCCTGTTAACGTTCTATAGCATTATTTGACTTTGCCTTAGCTCTGGAGCCGGTAAAGTTACTCAGTAGAGCAGGTTCCCTTAAGCTGGCAATGAGTAACAGCAACAGCAGGCCCACTTCTGTAAATGCAAAAACTAAGACATTCCAATAAATCTTTCCCCTCACAGAAACTTGATCTCTTCTGACCACTGCTTGGCTATCTGTAAAAGCACCTTAGGAATTTCGCTCAATGAGCCTTTTCAAAATTAGAGAAGTGCCATCAAAGAGTGAATTGCTGCAGCAAATACAAATAAGTAAAACAAGTACAAAACAACCTGGTTACCACCGAGGCTATGGCCATACTTTAGGAGGTGTTATACTGCAGGAGAAACATGCTTTCTAGAGCAACCATAGAGGTGAAGTAGACCGAGTTCAGCCAAGCTTGCTGCCTCTGCTGTGATTCTGGGAGCCAGCTACAGCAGGTGTAAAACTGAGGCAAAGATACTTCGACTAACGTCAGTGCTGATAATGAAAGAATATAGAATTCTGATGAAAGCCGAACCACTCTATTAAAAAAAAAAAAATTGAACCTAAAAGAATGTCCATGTGTCTAAAGAATAGAGTATGGATCTTGTGAATATTTCATATATTAGAAAGAGGTCTGTTTTACTAACTGGGTCAGACCTGTTTTAAAAGTCCAAGACATTCACATATGTGGTCAGACTTGTGGCTAGTTACATTAATATAACTTTTCAAATCTTGTCTCAGTGCAATATTTTGGTCACATCACTGTAAGTTTTAGTATCAATATAAAATATGAAGACATAATTAAACATTACTGAAAAGAAATGTGCTGGCATTTACAAAACTAGAAACTTTGTCAGGGCATTATAACATTTGTTATTCTATTTAAAAAGCAAATTTGCATAAATTTTTAACTATGATGGCTAGCAAAAAAATTAGTATAATTCAAAAAATTCCTGTATGCCTTTGGAAAGATGAATTTAGATGAATTATTTAAATCTGTTTAGAAGCCAAATGTTACCCAGCCAAACATTAATAATAATAATTATAATAATAATAATAATAATAATAATACACTAATATAATGTCTACCAAAATAAAAACTGTAACCAAACAAAAAGAAAGCATTCCCTTAGTGGTCACTTAGAAGTGCTCTCACACATAGTAGCTTATACACCAAACTAGCAAACAGATCAGATCACAAAATTGAGGTTGTTAGCCGATTCAATAAAAGATCAGAAATTTGGGAGTACTTTATAATTTGTTCACATTTAATATGTAACTAGTACATGAATGAGTAGTCTTATACTGTTATTCTCACTCTTGGCCATTATTTGTGATGAAAGATCTTCCTGTCAGATCAAATATGGAAGAATGCAGGGTATGTGTCTTCTAAACAAATAAAAAAAATAAAATTAAAAAGCCTAAGTGGGCCTATTTACATTTCAAATTCAACAGATTCTTGGCCATCTGTTGCTTGTAACATTGATTTTCATTCCTTTTGGCATCATACCTGCTAAAGTCAGTTCATATTAATGTCAGAGATGATGCATAAAGAACAAAAAATGTGTCTCTATTTCAAGTTACTAAGGCTCCGGAGGAAGGTATACAATATTAAAACAGCAGATACCTGAATTCACCTAAAGAACCTCCATCTTGTGTATGCTTCATGGGTAGCCTTCTGTTTCCATGTCTCTGAAGAGTTAATGTTTGAATCAGGGTAGGAGGGGACAGCAGGTGTTTATTTTGAAGGTAAATATACTGTTAGGTAGCCCATGGTCCAATGATCTGTATGCTAGTATATGAAGATTGGGGATGCCTGTGATGTACTGTGACAAACAGCAAAGTAACATGGTGATTGATCTGTGAGCCCAGTAGAGAAGCCAGTCGATACCAGTAAAATCCATGAAGTGTTTCTTCCTGACAGTTTGGCTGACACGTCATTGATGCATGTTGGAGAGCTAATGTCGTTAGCCAAGCTGTACCGCAGCATCTGCCACTTCCAAAAACCCATCAGTGACATCCATAGGTAAGATGGCATTTGGTTTCTGTAGCTGATGACAAAGCAATCAGCCGTTTCTCAGCAGTCACCAGTAGGTTCTCAGCAATCTTGCAAAGACAAAGAAATGTGTGCTCACACAGTAGCACAGCTCTCATCCTTGCACATTAAACGTGCATTGATCTGGTTTACGTTAATATATGAATGTCAAGCTTCTGTTCCTGAATCACTGGTTTATGTAGCGGAGTTGACACAACACAGTCTATATGTAATAGCCCTATTTATTCTCTTTTCCCTCTACTTGTCTCTGTACATCAACCTGTCAACAATTTCTGAAATCCAGCTATTTCTCTTCTCAATATGAAATGAAACCTGATACATAATAACAGGAATTGAAATTATACATAATGCTGTAGGAGGGAAAACAGCAGAAAACCAAGACAAACAATTTTAGCAGCAATAAGCAACACACCTACCTTAATTAAGCCCTCCTTATGTTTTCTTCTTTATTGAGATTGATTAATTTAGGAACTAATTCTGGTTTCAAGAAAGCAACCAGAAAAAGTCTCTCATTGACTGCCAAAACAGAATCTAGCCCACTGGTTTTCCACCTTCTTTCTTTCATAACTACCTAAACTCAAATCTTATCACATATAGCAGCAGAAGAACAAAATGTAAGATTGCTTGATTTTCACAGCGGATGATTACACTCAATCTCTCTAATAATAAGATGCTTCAGAGGAAGTGTGTTAAAAAAGCACCCTTGCAGCAGCCTTTCTGGAATAAAACAACAGGTGTCTTCATGACCAGGATCTAATTTGCATGGTGACTGGACTCCCAATATTTTCATCAAAACTCCTTGAGTGATCAAATTCAGACCAGGAAACTTACTGCAGTCATGGAATTCAAGATGACCTGTGTTTTCCTGGTTGCATTTTTACCAAGCACTCATTTGCTAACACCGTCCAGCATGGAGATTTGACATCACTCATTGCATCATACTCATCAGTATTATTTTCATGCTTATTTTTGGAATTTGATATAATTTTCCCTCTAAAGGTCAAATCCCTGAATGGAACTTGTTTGGGCAGAGTCTCAGAAGACAAAGGTGTAAAAGTCTGTATCTCAAGTTGTCTGCCTGAGATAAAGAGCAATAAAAGTTCCTCTTGGCCTGTAAACATATTACGGCAGATAACTTCAAAGACAAGCCTCATTTGATGTGGAAAAGTTTGGAGCAAACTGATTGTTTTAAATTATGATTATGGACTTTCAAGACTCCACCTGAAGTCACAAGACATTTTGCAGTAGAACAAAAGGCTGCCCTACAATCAGTAACTGGTCGAGGAAGAAAGGTGTGACTATATATGAACCTGTTGGAAAACCACTGTCCCCACTTTCACTATGTGTTGAGACTCAATATATTACCATTGCACTGCTGGGCCTCTGTTCTCCTTATCCTAGAAAATCTGGTTAGAACAAGGAGTCACATCCATTTTCATCAGGGGTGGCTAAATCCTGAGCAACATCTAAGAAATTAAGTTCCTGTTCAAATGAGCTAAAATCTTCTCTTACCTTATTCTTTCCACACTTTCCATTTTCTGTTCTCCACCAAAAAGAAGAAAAGAGCAGAAAAAATTATTGTCCCTCAACAGCACTGCTGACTTACTCCTCTTTCCCCATTACATCTCCAGGGGTGTGACAAAAGGAAGCAGCTAAAGGGAGAGGGAGGCTTAAGAAAATTTGGAGGGAAAGGCAGCTAAGAAAAGAAAGGAATGACCAAAATCACTGTGGGAGTCTGACGTGGCAGAGCAAGCAAGGAAAACATTGAATTTGTCATGAACAGCTCAATGTAGTAGGAGGAAAAAACATGCATGTTTTGGATAGAGAAGATATTATTTGTTGCAATAATCTTGGAAAATTTACTCAGCTTCAGCATAAATATCTGATCTATAGTACAGTGGTATATACATTTGAAAGGAGGATGGTGGACTGCAGCTGCTTCCTCTGACCTGGATAAAAGGGCTTGTGTTGTACAGCTTGGCAACACGGCAGCTTGTCAATACTTCCAGGGAATGTTAACTCACTCACTAACTTTTCTGCTGTGGGAATGATGTGTCTGTAAATACTACTTTTTCTATATCTACTCCTTAGGGAATTCTCCAGGCCCAGTAAAGAGGACACCAGTATCACAAGTGGTTGTAGAAAGGGTTAGGAGAGCATGAGTGATATGGCATGGGAATATGGGAATGAAAGAGTAAAGAGAGCTAGAAGAAAAATAGCCAAGCTGTGAGCATTAATAATCTGAAACATCCTTTTACAGGGGGAGGAAGGGAAGAGTGAATTAAATTTTTGGAGTAACATATGATATAATTTGTGATAGAATGATTACAGAATCTGAATAAAACAACAGTTTTCCTTTTGGGAGGATAAGGGGAAAAATTATTTCATTTTAAAATTTCAAAAGTAAATTGATCATCTTCTCTGTGTAATATTCAAGGTTAGCTATTTTAGCAATCCTACCTCAGTCAAAAACAAAAGATCTAATTTCAAGAGTGTTTGAAGAGCTTTCAGAAATAAGAAATACCAGTATTGCCTCTGCTTTCAGAATGTCACAGAACAGTTGTTAAATTATGAAAAACATATTACAGAATAAGGTGGAATTTGTGGAGCTTACCTTCCTACGATGGGATGGCACAATAAAATATGTTTCAATGTTATGCTTCTTCAAGAAACTATTCCTCTCGTGACCATATCCTGGTTCTACCTCATAGTCTCCATTTAGGCACTCTAAGGTGGTCTTTGTAATGTGAACTTTCCTGAAGAGAAAAATCAGACATTGTTGTTCAAAGCAAAGGTATATTATGAGCTATTTGCTACTGAAATACACTCCTTTGCAGAAGAACAGAAAGAGGTCAAATTTTGTGTAAAAGCCCATTATTTGATGGAAAAAATCTGTTTTGTTTTGTATTTTCAGCCAAACAGAACATAGAAATATAACTATTATATGCATTTTCTAAACTTGAGCAGAGTGAACAGAAAGATAACTGTCCAAACATCTGCAGATTGGTTGATCTGTAGAAAGTGAAATTCTGCACAGCATCTTCTACATTGTGTGGCTTTAAGAGTTTACCTCACTGCCTGCTTAGAAAAATATCCTGCTGTTTGAAACTTGTGACTTCACACTTTGAAACTCTCCTGTGCATAAAGGAGAAACTTCATTTTCTGTTCCCCTTCATGTCTCTGACCTGTTTCATATACCCACTCAGTTTTGTAGGCAGCTTTCTAATTCACTTTGTTTTGGCAGCACAGACATCTTTGACACTATTCCTGAGTTTTCTTATCCTGAAAACTGTCTTCACATTTTTTACTGAAAGACCTCTTATATTTGAAATATCTTCACAGAAGATATCTGAAAAGCTATTACTGTTTTCCTCTGTTAAACATGTGTTCAGATTTTTTTTCATTGAAAAGCCTTAAGGTAAGGAACATACAAAATATACTGCCAAAATTGCTTAGGGCAGACATAGGAAAAAATCAGATATTCACTCAACCACAAAAATTAAGAGGTTCCATTGTCCCCCTTGTTCAGCAGATCATGACCTTGTAGAAATCCAACAGAGGATGGTAGGTCCCAGTCCAGATGCAAGTTGCACACAGAAGCACACCCCATGCACCCTTGCGAAAGTGCACTGTGTGCATTTAAATCAGGTCCAAGGAATACTTAAAATTCCAGATGTGCCCCGTGGTCTGGCTGCAGATTTATGTGCTCCCATATCATTTGCACATACAGAATCAATATTTGAGTGCATAAACAGATATTTTTTTTCTATAGCACATTACTAGTGTTGGAAGTCCTGCCATGTAAAAGGAGTGAGGCACAACCCTCCGCACATATGTAGAGGTGCAAGGGTAAAATTTCCTGTAATAAATAGAATCACAGAATCACAGAATATTAGGAGATGGAAGGGGCCTCAAAAGATCACCCAGTCCAACCCCCCTGTCAAAGCAGGATCACCTAGACTAGATTGGACAGGAACGCACCCACGAGGGTTTTGAATGTCTCCAGAGAAGGAGACTCCACAACCTCTCTGGGCAGCCTGGTTCAGTGCTCTGACACCCTCACAGTGAAAATGTTTTTCCTCATGTTCACATGAAACCTCCTATGTTCCAGCTTGCACCCACTGCCCCTTGTCCTGTCATTTGCTATCACTGAGAATAGCCTGGCTCCTTCCTCCTGACACTCGCCCTTTACAAATTTATAAACATTAATGAGGTCACCTCTCAGTCTCCTCTTCTCCAAGCTAAAGAGACTCAGCTCCCTCAGCCGCTCCTCGTAAGGGAGATGCTCCACTCCCTCAATCATCTTTGTGACTCTGCACTGGACTCTGTCAAGCAGTTCCCTGTCCTACTTGAACTGAGGGG